AACTGCTTTTTCACTTGGTCTGAATACCATTCCTTCAGTAAAAATAACAATAATAAAAATAAGAAATTACCAACCAGAACATACTGTAGTCATCTACTTATTATACTATTTTAGTAAATTCTGGTTATTCAGTATTTTCAAAATAATTTTTTTTTTTAAGATTTATTTATTTGTGCATACAGAGCTGGGGTACAGGCCAGAGGCTCAGGGGCGGTGAGAGGCTTCACCAGAGACAGAGTGGGGAACAGAACAGGCAGATAGACGAAGTACACTGCTGAGGGGAGCAGCGGGCGGGTCAGGAGAGGTCTGCCACACCATGTGGTCACCTCCGGGGCAGGCGGGAATCGAACTCATGCGGAAGCGGCTTTAGATTCTCAATGCTGTGCTTTAACCCGCTGCGCCACCAGGGAGGGCCTCAAAATAATTTTTTACCTATTTAAAAGCTACTAGCTTACTTTCCCTAATAACTTCCCAGATTATTTTGAAGTATGTGACTTAATCTCAAAAAGTTCTTTGTTTGGGTTTGAGATAAAGATTTAGGAAAATAACACATTTATAAGAAGTAAGAAATCTCCATAAGCATGTTACAGTCAGAGACACACCTATAAAATGAGACTCTCCTAGGAACAGTAGAAGATATCCTTTCAAGCACAGGTATCAATTACCAAGTCTGCTTGGCCTCACAAGCACAAATGTTTTTGTGACTTCTGGTGCCCCAGCCTCAGCCAGTTTTTCTGGACACCTGGTTTATGGGAAGGTCCTAGGTTATACATCATCCTGAAGAGGTACATAGACACACAGGTACACACAGATACAATAAGGCTGAACCTCCAGCAGGTTCACTCACAATAGCTGCTGAACCTAAAAGGGGACAAGGAAGCCAGACACAAAGTCAATTGCAGCCTGGTAAATCAGGGCAACCTAGGAAAAAGATGGGCATCTAGAAACTGGAAGATGCAACAAGGGCCCAGCACTTACAATCTCTGAAAGGACATGAAGAGACATTGGTCTCTCAGTTGAATTGAGAGATCTGCATAAGCCCCAGCTTACTTATGGTAGCACAGACACTGGAACTCTGGGGTGCACCTTAGAATCTATTCCTGTTTCATGCTTCTACTTCTCAGAAACAATAGAACCATCATCTATCTTCTTCCATACCCATACCAGGGCAGAGAAAGCAGAGTATGAAGGGCATGGTTTCCACTTTTTGTCCTGTCTCAAATGCTCCTGGTGAGGTTGTTAACAGCACATCTACATTTTCAGGCCATCTCTAAAACAGTTATCAGTCACTAATACACAATATCATCACTAAGTCAGTTATCAGTCCATCACTAAGATGTCTGGAGATCAACATGGCAAAAACACTACAGTTTACATTACAAATTCCAAAATGTTTTGAAAGCCAACATTATTTTTTCAGTTACTAGAAAAAAGAATGTGGCATGGGCATTCATTGCAACATGGAAGCTTTTTCTGAATCACTTTCCTATATTACGAACCGGGTATTTTAAAAAACTCTAAAGCACTCATGTTCTGTTCTAAGTGATCTTCTTGACTACTGACTTAATACAGGTAGAAAAAAACAGAAGTCTCACAATAGCACATTTCTTTTCTATGACTACACTATTATGTCAACATTTATGGAGATGGCCTTATTCTGAAAGTAAGTTAACAATGAAATGATATTGTTAAGCCCACTGATTATTTATTCTTACAAGTTCAATACAAAGCTCAAGAAATGAACAGAGCATCTTAGATGCAAAGGTTTTATGTGTGTACACAAGCATACCCACTCACACTTCTTCAACATACCATTTCACAAATGCTGTATACTATTAAGAGGAGGCGGGTTCTGCCAGGCACATAATTTGTATATTTAAGGGAGGTGTATGGAGTGAAAAAGCGAAATATGCTAAATTTCAAAGGACTTGGAAGCAATGCTGCCTGTGAGCTTGTATTACAAATAGCCCCACATTATTACATACGCTATTAATGAGGCTGAGTGAATGAAAGTGCAATTTGAATATGCATGACTCTATCCAATAAGCAGGACTTTTGTGTACTGATGAGGTTTTTTTTTTCCCTCCTAAAAAAGGATTAGAATTATTCTTAGAGAAGTATGGCTACCCAGAGACCAGTAAAATAAATGTACTTAGACCACTGAGTCACACTATATTCAGATGAAATATACAGGTGCTACAGATGCCTTTGAATCTGTAATTTCTGGAACTTGTGCATATCACATCCTCCCAACAGAAATATTCTTCAACTCTGAGCAGCTGTGTCATTAGTATGTCTTAGCAAGAAATAATGATTTTAGTGGAGATTCTTAAAAGTACGCAAGGTTAAATAAACCTTTTGAGTAGAAAGCCTTCACTCCCCTCATAAGGAACACTAGTTAAAAGACTGGGGAATGGGTAAATTATTGCACCAAATGGCTGAGAATTAATCTCTGCTGACTAGCTGTAATCTAACGAGGCGTCTGTGTCCCAGGGAGCCCGCAGCATGTCCCTGGCGGTATGTGCAGTGTGTCGAGTCTGCGTGGCACCCTTTGTCCTCGCTCACAGGCGGCCTTTCCCCTCATTGTCCATAATATCCTCATGCATCTGGGACGCGTGGAATGCATTCATACTAACAGACTTACCATTGTTTTCTCTCAGAAGCTTTGTTGAGCAAAGACTGCATCACGGTTACTGATAATTATATTGCTTAATTAATCAAGACAAAAAAAATTTGCAAATCATTGCCTGGTTGCCAAGCAGGGAGATAAAAAATGACAACAATACAAGCTGAAGCAATATAACAAAAGTAACAGCTATCTGATCAGAAATTCTTATATAATGAAGCTATTAATGCTAAATCGGTTAATGTTAACATTGCTCCAGGTGTCTCTACTTAGATGCAAACAAAAAGGCTAACATTATGGATATAAAAGGCCAAATGTTGCCATGGATTCTGTAACCTGATAGAGAGGACAGCCTTTTCATTTGATTAGGGAATGCAATTTAAATACCAGGGATGGAAGCCAAACAAACAGACTTTCCCTCCACAAGCCTCTCCTATTCACCCTGGGGTCAGTGGTTGGTGAACAAAAGGTCAGCCACACTTGCCCTGGAAATGTCTGGATTAATTTTATTACATTGTAATGGTTTGTACTTTAAATGTCGGGATAACACTAAATTTTTCACTTGCCCATTATTCTTCTTCCCTTTAGGCTTTTGAATTGAAATATTAAGAAAGCGATTTGCTCAATTTATCTCGCCAGAATTTACGATCAAATTTACAAAACTCAGTTTTAAAAGAAACTTAAAAAGGGATGTTAATAGTTGTTTTCATGAATTATATGTCTATGTCTTATTGTAAAACTACCTTTGACACTATAAAGTGAACTGAGCTATCTTTTTTACTTTATTTATTTACTATAAAATCAAGGCAGCATTTTGGGGACAGTCACTGACATTTTAGATAATGATGTTGAAAATGAACAAATAAAGTCAGCTAATCCATACTAAATGTTAAAGGAACACATTCTCTAGTTTTGAAAGCTAACACTAAACTCTAAAACAGTATACTAAATGTATTGTCTAATATTAAAATTAGAGTTTTAATTCTTAAAATTTAAGCCTTGCTCTTCATAGACAAACACAGCTGTTATTAGCACGCAGAGGCATTTTTTAATATAAAAACTTCACACACACAGAGATATGAATAAAAGAGAGCAAAAATATTTAATATAAAGAAATTTTGGAATCTGCACTGAAATACAAATGAAGTTTTCTTTATGTCAGGCTTCTCATTGGCTAGAATAGGATTTTTTTTTTTAAGTTAGGAGCTGAACTATATATACTGTACCTAGTCTGAGAAATAATGATCATGTTAAGAGTTGGGATTCATTATTTATTTATACTAGGAACTATAACAAAAAGCTAGAGTAATAATAATAATATTAATAATAAAAACACTTAAGTAGATTTTATTCTGAGCCAGGAATTGTTTGAAGCACTTTTCATTTTTTATAATTTCATATTATAACTTTAATAAATCTCAGTTATGTCCTATTTTAAAGTTTAAAAAAGGGAACTTTATATTAGGTTATAAATTTCAGTAAGTCTTATTTATTACTTGAAAGTTTTAAAATAGAGTATCTGAAATTGTAATTTTAGCTTTTTCAGAAGAATAATTTATAATGAAAATGAAGATTATATTTAATATCAAACTGAAATACATGAAGTCATTTTCTAAAGGAGGAATGATTCAATAAACTAATGTTCAATTAAGTTTTTAAAAACAACCCTTCTTTTAAAAACATCAAAACAAAAACAAATCACTATATAAAGCACTGCTTAATTACCACCAAAGGCATGGCAAAAATCAAAACCACAACTAATTTTGTACACAGATTATATCCATTGGATTGTTCCAACCATTCTCATGATCAATACCAACTGATGTGTCTGAATTGATTCTATGGTAAGGTGTCTCAATTGTTAAAGATCATCATATGGACTGTGCTAGAGAGGTCAGTCTCTTCACAGACATGCCTTTAATCCTTCAGGATGGACCCCCATTAGCACCAATGCCCCCAGCCATAAGGCAATACTCTATATTCTCATATATTCTCTATATTCTCATCCGCAAAATGCTAGATGTGATATGCAGTTCATTCAATTCTTATTAATCAACATGCCTGAAATTTAAACTTACAGGTTTTTAAAAAATTAAAAATGATTTAAATCATTTGAAAATCATATCTTTACCATTATAATTTTGTTTACAGAACCTAAGTAATAGAATGCATAATTCTATTCTCATGATGAATGTTTCTTTGAAAAATCTCACTTCATATTTAATTCCTAAATAGTACATATAATTTAGATGCATGAGCAAATTCACCAGTTGGGGGAAAAGGCCTTGTTATCATACGTATATCATTATTTTTCAGTAACAGTGACTCATAGCAAAGGCAAAACACATCCTGGCAATACTGTGGTAAAACATACCTCAGGTTTCTTCGTTATCGCGATAAAGAACATGTGATTCTTCATTGGGTAAATAATGATCGAAACATCTCCAAAGGCGGTTGGGATAATACCCCTGCGGTAGTCTCTGGAGTGTTCGGACCAGACGATGTGGACCTCATCATTTCCCAAGTGACGGAGCTACAACAGCAAATTGGCTCTTTATTAATCAGAGTGATAACAGCAGTTTATTAGGGGTCACAGCTTACAAATTGAATTATAATACTCAGAGGCAAAAATAGTTTACTATTAAAACAAGAGTACAGTACAGATGTAACCTATGAGGCTTTAAAAAAGTATACTTTATAACACAGCTTATCTTCTAAGAAACAAATCAGTACTACAATAATGTACACAGCATTGTGGTACATTACAGCTGGATGGAGAATTTCTTTTTAGGAATTTCTCAAGATTCAGTTTTATTCCTGCATCAAAGCTTTTCCTTTATATTGCTGAGCATATTCCTAAACAATTAATGACCTCTTACTTTACATTACAGAAGAACTTTGAGATTCTTAATTCAAGGATATACATAACAGAACATAAGCCAATATGACACAAGTGTTAACCAAATGTATAAAAACTAGACTTGTGACAAAAGGTATAAACATAAACTTACCTATGTTTAGGAAACGAGTATTACTTAAACATCTACCTAGCATTTGAAGAGTACATATCATGTAGAATGTACAGTCACACAAGTTTTGTTTAATCTTTCTACTAATCAGAGAGACTACACAATCTCTGTGATCTAAAAAGGAAAAAATAGGGGCTCAGAAAAACAACGGAACCAGCGTACCTGAACAGCATGTGGCAGAGTGGGTCTGGAAACCTGGAGTGGGGGTTCTAATTCTGCCATTGCATGGCTAGTTAAGCCTACACCAAAAGCTACTGTAGTGTCATAGCTCAAATAGCTTAGCCCACTGCTTCATCATTGTATGTATAAAGAGGTCATGAAGTTCAAAAACAAATCAGAGACTCCTGGTCTTTTCAGAGTTCTTCAAGGGCACCAGTTTCTGTGGGATGAAGGACACTCTGGAGAAAACTCCTGCCTAATGAATCAGAATCAGAAATCATCCGAGTAAGCCTCAAAACATGGCTAAAAGTAACCAAATTATAAAAATCAAATGTTTGCTAATGCCCTAAATTAAAATCCTAAAACCAGAAAAGGCCTTTCAACACTTACTGAGAATTTGGGCTTTTGGTCTTGTCATGTGCTGCAGAAGAATGCTATCCACTACCACGAAAGGGTATTTCTAGTTTACTTAACAGATGAACCTGAAATGTGGCTAAATTCAGGGGCACTTTAGTAAAACAGAGCTATAGCAAAGCTAATGCTTCAGTTTTGTTTTAACGTGTAAAAATGGATGCTCTGGAATACTTCAATTTGAAAGGTATGTAAAACTTGTTGGCATAAGTACAGTTCTATTTATAGACTATTTTGCCACAAAGGGAAAAATATGAGATGTTTCTAACATGGCCTCCTTTTCATTTATGACGTTACAAAGGAAGCTGGTTCACTGCACACCTTATTCTTTATTTTCTCATACTTCTGGGAGTGACTTTTTTTTAACACTTTATTGCATTCATCATGGCTCGACTTTTACACAGAGTTTGGCACCTGTGCCTTTGTACCTACAGTGAAGCGCACATGATTCAAATGCCTGCAAATATGCTCCAGGAAAAATGTCACAGTGAGCACTGAAAACAAGTTGCAATGATCCAATACAATGCAATGGTCCCTACAACTTTCTAAATTTGAAGTTACCCAGCACATTTTTTCCCAAAAGTACTAGGTCTCAAATTATTTCATGAATAGTTTAAAAAATAAAAGGAGGATGGCAATGCATTCTTATAGAAACACTGAACATCTTTGCATTTTTCTATTTCCATCTCACATCTTAGAAGTTTTCTTCCCTTTTCCCCTTTTTAATGAAACATGAAAGGATACTCCTGAAATGAAAACATGGTAGCCAGTATTGCCAACATAATAAAGGCTGGTTTTCAAGGGAAGTGAGTAGAATCACACTGAAATTACAGAAGGAATTTAGAATGGCAGAAGGTAACTATGAGGGTGGAGGTACTCCAGAGTCTAGAGTCACCTTGCAAAGAAAACTAACCTTCCAGGCAGTTCTATACACCTTACTACAATGATGACGCAAAAGTCTGAATTGGAACACCCCAATACCTCCTAAACACTGTTGATATGTGGGGGTTACCACCCAACACCAGCACCCTAAAATGTTTGATGATAATGCCTTCTGATATAGAAGTTGGAAAGCATTAGCTTTGAGGGAATACAGTGATTACTGAAAATTTGCAGTTACACTCCCTTTTCTGAATTAGATTACTCAATTATATCCCAAATCTCTCCTAATTCTGTTTGAAATTGTATTCTCAGAACTGTAGCAAAGGAGTATAGTACTGCACTAATAGACCCATCCTCACAATGTGGCAATTCTGTCATTAGGGAAGAGTTATTTTTGTGTGGTAATAATTCAATATTCATTATCTTAAAGCTGCTTTCAAAGTCATGCGCCTCATACCTCTGGATATATCAGCATTTAGTTAAATTACAAAACTAAAAGGTAAGGCCACAGGTTAAACTGACTGATAGATTTGGAGTAAAGAGTGAAAACACACTCTTTTCTGCCTACAATAATAATAGAAGTAGGCAAAACAAGTAAAAGCAACCTGGCCAAATTGTCAACTACATCAGTACGTAAGGAAATACACTAAAAAGGTCAATGTGTTGCTCAATTTAAAGGAGATTTCATTACAGAAATTCATTCATTTTTGAGTTTGTGAGAATTTCTGATTATAGGCCTTCAAATTAGAAGACGACTAATGGGTTTGTTCCCTGCACATAAGTCAAGTCAATCTGGCTCAGGTGTAATCTCGAGGAGACTTAACAAGTGTCATCTTGGAATGGGGTTGTCATTATGGGAGCTACTGTGTGAATTGCACAACAGTATGCAGATTCTCCACAGGTTCAGAAAAACATTAGGGTTTTCAACCTTAAGAAATCAACCCAATGTCCTGCCACTTCTTATCCTGACAGAGTTTTCAAGTCCCCCTGCCTGAGCCATTCTGCTTGTTGCTGCCAGGCGGCATGCACTGGTGACACTGGTCATGGTATACACCTAATAGGCTGACCTCCTTTCCGACTAATTGCATTACATCGCCAGCTGGCTCCAGAAGGAGTCGTCTGTTTGATTGAAGAATTCCTGCTCCTCAGTGGGCCCGGCTGCTACTTTTACTAAGTAACAGTCAGGCCTGACATCCCCATTGTTCAGCTGACAGTGTGCCCATCCTAAAATCTAAGTTTTATTTGTAAATTAACCAAGAAACTTCCTGCCAGAACAGTGCTGCCTGGAGACTGATAATGTGGGCCTTTCATCCCTTTTCACTCGTACTGTATCACTGCCAATTTGTTTTTTATGCGGCTGGCCAGCCTGAGGCTATAAAAGCCTTGTAAGACATAAGTGCAATTATAGTCCTGGAGTCAAATGAATTGGACAAATCCAATAGCACAGCTCTGTCCCCACTCTGCAAACCCCTACAGCAGTTAGATTAGCTGTGAAAAATCTAATCTAGCTAGAGCTAACAAATTTCTGCAGTGAAGGATCAAGAGTTCAGTATGGGGTTGCAACCGGATTGCAGAATTGAAAAAGTGTCCCCATGACAGGGACAGAAGAGAGCATGAATCACTTTAGAATTTTGCAGCTCATTTTTAAGCTGTTAGGGACAATTTAGTTAGAATAAGACAAGGAACTGTGGGCTGCTGTTACTGTGACTGATTTTTAGTCTAGCTGTGAGACATCCTGATAAAGAGAGTTTGTCACTAATGATGCTAACTCTTGGAGCTGCAAAAGGCATCAGCTGAATTTTGATTATTACAGTAGGGAATCTTTCAAGCAGACTAAGTCTTGAACCTTATTTATGGCAAGATACTTTATTAAGAAAGCACTTGTCTTTCTCAAAGAAAAAAATCCTACTTAATTAGGAAGCATTAAAAATATTTTATATATTAATCTATTTGTTAACACAGTATCTTTCAGTCATAAGAATATGTTGACACATTTGCAGCATAGCAGCAATTTATAAGGGACTACAAATAAAAAGGATATATAAGCCCTACCCAGGGTCTTGATTATCTGAAATTGATTTCTGAGCGTAGGGTCCCCCTCACTAACAATAAAGCAGCCAACAGCCATCAAAACCTAAGGCAGTTCCCCAACACCTGTGGGAAACAGCATATGGTGAGCCAGAGGCAAGGCAAGGTGAGCATGCAGACCAGGGAGTGGAAGTCTGTCAGGCCCTGCACATCCAAGACATTCAATCATGAGGGCACATGAGTAGGCTCACATTGCCCACCAAGTGCTTGGTTCAGACATCTGAGGCTGTTGTAGTGAAAAAGCAAAATCACAGAGGCCAGAAGTTAAACAGGTACAGTAAGCTCCATTGGGTAAAATCAATTATCTGCCTAATGAGGCAGGGGAAAGCACTGAGAATGACAGAGGTTGATACTACCCATTTACTTTTTACAACATTTGACATAAGCTATATTTTTAACCTCATTTAATAGTGAAGAAATTGAGGTTCACACCAGTGAAATAACTGGATGCACACTCGAACCTTGGTGTGCCTATCTTCATAACCTGGAGATCACTACACACAGATCGCCAACGGCTAAGGGACTCACTTCCAAACCACCCAGATGCTATCCTGAATTCCATGAATCCTTATAGGAAGGGGCAGAGGAGGTGATAGGAATTCCAGGCTCACAAACTGCTAGCAGGCTAGTAGCAGTTGTTCTTTTCATCTGAAAACTCACAGAAGCAGGTCAGACTTCTAGGTTTTCTTTCCAGACAAAAATTTCTATTAAGGTGTTTTTCACTTCCAACAGAAGGCCATCTCAAGTGAACATTATACAAGTCGAAAAACATAGGGTAGTGTCCCAGGGGGTTTCCCTAGGAGGTAGAGGTTTCCTCTGAATTCTAGAGAAACCTGTTCACCAGGCCCAAATTGAAGGAGAACACAAGATAAGTACCAGGAACAGGACCTTGGACAGTAACAGACATACTCGTTTTGACAGATTTTGTCAAATCTGAGAGAAGCAATTTTCTCAGGGCCCCATCAATACGTGATCATTGGATCTTAAGATGCTGGCCAGCTGGAGAATATCAACAACCTTAATTTTTGTCAGATAATAGTCATTTAAAGGAATCCAAAAGTAACAACATCTAAGACCCTTTCATTTCAATCTTGATCTCAGGATTTAAGACTGAAATGATTGCTTCGTATATATTTCTTTACCTAGTTTGTGCTAGGCTGGATATTTCAGATAAGTGTAACTCAAGAAAAGTAACACTGTAGTTGTATCAAGAAGAGCTCAGTGTCAGTGTGTATTATGGCAAGGTCTCTGTTCAAATTTAGGAGAGCCTCTATAAGCCTAAGGGCAGCTAACAAGACCCCTTACCTTTTTAGTGAGTGAATCATCTGAGTCTGATGGCATCCGAGTAGAAACGTGGAAAATCACTTCCACGGTCGAGGTAGCATAGTAAGGGGCCGTCTGTCCTGTGCTGCCATTTCGCTGAAGTCCACCCATGAAGCCACAGTGGGTTGAGAGGTCCACCTGACACAGGTCACAAACAGGATAAAGAATGAGGGTAAAACAAGAGCTGTTCTTATTCACTAAGCAGGAAATGTGGATTTTTAAAGATCTGATTTTATTCATATTTATAATTTTCTTTTTGATTTCAAAAAATGCAATACAAAGTTAGACAAAATTAAAATACCCAAGAAACATTAACAATAAAAGGATTCATAATCTTACTAAATTAAGAAAATTGCTATCAAAAGTTTGGTGCCTATTTCTCTCATTTCCCCCCGCCCCGTACATGATATATATGTTTATGTACAGGACACACACATATGTATGCATACATGTGTGTGTGTGTATAAATACATGCATTCACACATAGAGTTTTACTGATGGATTTATGGGGTGTTCCGCTTTCTTAAACAGTAATGATGGGGTTAAAAGAGAAGAAACATTCGAAAGAAGATTTCTATAGGATGCTGTGTCAAGAGGTATAGATGTTTCAAAATTTAACAATTCTATTGCTAAGCTGAAAAACTTTTTATCAATTTACCAACTGATAAAAAGAAAATGGTTGTTTCATTTTACATCATGTCAAAAAATCTATAAGCCACATTTTTTCAAGGTATACCGTAAGTATTCACTTCTCAGTGTCTAGGTTCAATTGTTTTCATAAATTAATATTGTTTCAGTAAAGCACCTGCTTTAACATAACTGAAAAAAAAAAACAACAAAAGATTTCTTTATCAAATAAAGCCAACATATCTACTGAATCAGCTGAAGTTCTAGTCTTTTCTTAAAACTTTTGTTATAAGTGTATGGCTTATAAAATATATTAAATAGTAAATATATTCAATAACAAATAATTAACCTTATAAGTAAAAAGAATAGTAATTTATTGGAATTGCTAGAACAGAGTAAAATCAACTTGATTTCTCTCAGATTTGAGGAATATATTTTTGTTTCAAGATTATGTTTCTTAGATTTCTGTTTACATGTATATGTGTATGTGTGTCTGTATGTGTGTGTAAATGTTTACACATCTCTTAAGAGTATCATTTAGTAAAGAAAATATATATATATTTTATATCAGAGTTATTCTGGGATATAGCTCAGGGGAAAAGGCTGAGAGCTAAACCATCATGGCTCTGTACACTATTTTTTATTCCATGTTTGGACTTCACTGAAACTTTTCTTCATCTTTTCATCCATCAAGTCATTGATTTCTTCTCCAGTCTCCACATGTGGCCAAAGCCATTGCTTCTTTGCCCACATTTATATTTTTTCCTACTACACACTGTTATGACCGGGTGAGCTAATCTGACTATTCAGTTCTGATAAAATGCAAGTGAAATAACATTAAGAGAAAAGTTAAAAGGAAATAAAATTCATATATAAAGTACTAAAAGCAACAAATAGATGTCCACAGATTCAATACATTATTTAACTCTAGAACTCTACCCATATTATATTTGAATATAAAACCACATGTAAAAAACAGAGCAATCATATGACCCAACAATTCCATTCCTAGGTATCTACCCAAAGAACACATTGCACTGATTTGAAAGGAAAGCTGTTCTATGTTTACAGCAGCATTATTTACATAGTTGAGATAGGGAAACAACCTAAATGTCCCCAAACAGATGAGTAGATCAAGATGTTGTATATATACACAATGGAATACTATTCACTGATCAAAAAAGGTAAACCAATGCCATTTGTGACAACATGGATGGAGAAGGAAGGGATTATGCTAAAAAAAAATAAACCAAGAGAAAGACAAATTCTGGATGGTTTCACTTATATGTGGAATATAGAGAAACCAAACAAAGGGTCAAAGAAAGCCTTAAAACAAACCCTTGAAAGCTCACCATAGATCTGAGGCACGCAGGAGAGGAGGAGGGGAGTCAGGGGTGCAAACAGGAAGAGCACAATGGACCATGGTGGAAGACTATGGATGCTTTGGTGGTGGGAGAGTTACAGTGCCCACATCTGAGAGAAGAAATCCTATACTATCTAAAAATTAACAAGGGTGTAAAATAATGGTACTTCATGAATAAAATAAAAAGAAAAAAACTTTATGTAATGAATGTCAAATTTAGATACATCTTTAATAGTGCTGGCCAAAAAACACAAATTGAATGAAATGAATTACCTCCCATCCAAGTCCAGCAACAAAGTCTTCATATGCTTGGCTTCCTCTTTCATTAGAGAGGATTGAACATTTGTCTTCTTGACCTTCAGCAATGTAAAACACTGCAATTTTGTGTGTTTCACGGCTGTAATTTTTTAAATTTAAAGGAGTTAGACTTTTTATATGTAAAATTTTTCTCTTACTACCAACAGGACTGTTATGATAGGGCTTACACTTTGGGGCAGTGAATCATTATTTTAAGGATCAGTCCCTGTTCCAGGATGTTTCTTTTTTTTCACTTTTAAATGATATCATTCTTTACAATCACTCTAGTCAAGCAAGCATTACCATCCTCTCTCTTGCAGAGGTGTTTGAAGGGTGGTATAAGTTAAAACAAAACATAGTAAGATCAGGGATTAAAACAGGCAGTCTGGTTCATGGGATCACTCTTTTAGACATACAGTACACTTAACATCATGTTTTAGCACATTTTGACCTACTTTCTCCATTCTTGGTAGAAAATATCTTTGAAAGCATTTCAAATAGATATCAACTGTGAATAGATCTACGTGACTGCCCAAATTCTACTTTCTGCATGTTGAGATAAGAATATTGGATAGTGTAGATTGGGAATGAAAAATATGCCAAAACTTCAGAGGAACAGAAACTTCTTCCTGGCAGAACGTATTTGGGTATTTTCTCTGTGAAGGGTGGACCCCCTCTGCTCTGACTAATCTGTAGGTGTGTGCTAGGGTAGACAGCTGTCCAGGGACACCTCTGGCTTTACAAGCCCTTTTTCTACTTCCTCCATGGTGGATTTTCCACATTTCTTGTTTAAGTAAATATAACATGTTATTTGGGGAAAGAAGTCCGGATTTGTACTCTTTTTATAGCTAGCACAGCCCTTGGCACATGGTAAGTACTCAGACTGTCAGAATGCTTGTCCTTATTCATTATGGAACACTAAAATGGAATAACACTTTCCTCCTGTGTGATGGCAAGGGACATCAATAGCCTAGAATGACAATTACCTTATTCTCAGCTTTAATAATTTGTTCAGATACTAACAGAGATCAGAATAGAAGGAGAAATAAGTATAGTTAAAATTTCTTTCTGCAGCCCTCTGTACTTAAGCCCACAGCACTTAATTATCTCCTATTCTATACACTTTATTATAAGAACCACTGGTTTATCTAAAATGTTTGTTATTTTTCCTTAAAGTTCTAAGTTCCAGCTTGTTTTTACACTGTAACTGCACACAGGTCCATGAGTCCTCATTAACTCAAAGTAGGAGAACACTAGAGAATTAAGTACCAATGACTGCCTGACTGATGTAGGTGTGAGGAAAGGTGACATTTAGCTATAAACATTCATCAAATTTCACATTCTCCAAAATGTTAGCACCACAGAGAGCTTGCTAGGATGCAGACACTGTGTCTGGCCTTCCCAAAGCTAGGCTTTTGAAATGATAATTAGTAACATCAACTGCACTTCAGATCCATAAGCAGCACTGCTAATGCAGGAAGGATCAGGTTATTCAACACACACACATAATCAACAATGGCTTCTTCCTCATTAGAATGCATTTTTCTTATTGGGAATAGATCAGAATAGTTCCGTTTTCTTGAGCTGTCACATTAAAGAGCAAAATAAAGAAAAAATCATGATTTTAACATTCACCTTACCATACAATGGCAAGAGGTATTCATATTTCAAAGGGAAAAGTCATGTATGTAGCTCCATCATGCTATTTGCAACCTTGCCAACTTCAAGGTATATAGATAGAGTTGCAAATAGTTTCTACTTTTCCTAACACAAGCTAAGCAGGAACTATGCCTAGATAGAAGGGAGATAAATTGATAGGAGAAATAAACAGAAACATCCTAACTTATTTCTGTTGTTTTTTTTTTAATCTAAAAGAACCTTCAAAATACTATTTACCATAAAATGAGTTGATAACTATTTAAATGTCAGTAAGACACTAAATCTAGGAGTTGGAGTTTTAAGTGAAGGTTAATCAAGGGCGTGAGGATTTGCCAATCTGCTCTCCAAAGCCTTATTTTACTGCAACAGCACCCCAGGGAGCTAATTCAATTGTACCTCCTGCAACTAAAGTGCATTAACATCCAACAAATTGGCCACAATTACAAGATACCAATGTATTCACTTAATACTAAGAAGCACAGAATAATTCAGCAAATGCTTGAAAAGCTGAGTTTGGAACCCACATGACTGCATGTTTAACAGTGGAAGACAAGAGGTACAGGGAAGTGAATCCCCAAGTCCTTTAGAAGAAACCAATCACAAAGTCAGTTTCTATTTCTTTAGAGGAAAAGAAACCTAACAACAATTGGGAAACTGAATATGATAAAGGGCAACATGAGGAATAATGGTTTTGTCTTCAAGTTTTTCATCCCTAATGAGGTATCTAATGATATTTCTAAGGGGAACAGAAGAGGAACAAAAACCAATTTTAAAAAATGAGCTCCTTAACAACTAAAGATTAAGGAAGGAGTTTATACTTTTTAAGACTTTCAAGCATCAATTATGACCAATTACTATACTTAGTCTCAATGGAGATGTTATTGGAAGCACACATATTCTCAAATCAAAAACTGGCTGTGTGCTCATCTTCAGAATTGCTTCTGAGATTGTGATCTGAGTTTTGAGTGACTTTTGGAAAATGCACGGGAGAGTGAGGTTTTCACTAGAGTTATTAATACAGTGTGGTAGCTTTAAACTTGCCAACCTGTAGAGCAGAGACTACAGAGTGCTGGCACACTGGACGAAGCACAAGTTCTCAAGTCAGTCTTCTCACATTATACAACACAGTACAACACAGTATGTGGGGACACAGTCAGGCTGTGTGTCCCTGGTAAGCCTCTACTCCTCAGTAGAAAAGGAGGTGGCTGCAGAGATGAAATGAGAATGAATGCCCCCTGGCTGCCACATGGAAAGATCCTCAAAGGCACAGATTTGGTGGGAGCATTGACCTTTTCTTAGTGTAGCAAACTGAAAAGTCTATTCACCAACGGCAAAACTATTAAAGGGATCGCATGAGCAAATATCACCAGTCCGTAGGTTACGGAACCACCCTTGGATGTCTGTAGGTGTGTTTAGTCCTGAGGTCATATCTGTCATCTAAGCACACACACAGAGACAGGAATAAAGGTTTGATATACTTTCACATACCACTGGCGGGAGTCCAGATTTTTCAGCTCTCTCAATAATTTTGAATTTTTCTTCAACAGATGGAAATTTTTCCTATAGAGAAAAAGGGATGAAAGAGATCAGGTAACCTCAGACCAATGTTACCTTTTCCAGGCAATTAGCAAACCTTCCTATTCCATTTATACATCTATTGGTCCATTGCCTGTCTCCTTCACAAAAAGATTTGAGATGGAAGTCTCAGAATGGCCTTCATTCTCCCTAAGACATTCAAAAGCCTTAAAGTCCCTTTACATCCATTACTATGTAGTGCCACTGGATGGTTATGCCTTCACTGTTAGGTCTGCTGTCAATCTCTTTTCCCCACCTCTGTTTCTGAAAACTCCATTCCACCATCAGGGTGTAGCTCAAGACTATCACTCCCCACTGGACTTAGTTATTGATCTTGAACTCTTGTATAATGCTATCTTTCACCAGAGTTGTATGAGTCTACCTTTCTCACCAGACTTAAGATGACACTGTGACTTATTCATCCTTATAGGCCATTCACAACTTTTGTGAAGACAAAAGCAGTAACAGACAGCATAATTAAACATCCATACATACAGAAAATGTTTGGTACCTTTTAAAATATACAACATATGTCTGGAATTTAATCTGCCACAGAATAGCACAATCTATTTTATTTCTAACTTTAATTCAGCAGCAGAAAATAAACTATAAATGCTAAAATAGAGAAAAATATCTACTCCTATTCTCTGTTTCCCCAATTCCAAAACGATAAAGGAACAATCATATCAAAATGACAAGTAATTGAAGACCTATAGTATACTATTACCTTCTATCCCAAGAATTCATTCCCAAGTCATCCAGCAACAACCTGCAGAAGTAAAAGGGTCCTTGGGGCTCCACTGGTGTGGGCTGCTCCTGGCTGGTGACTTTCATGGCTGAATTGGAGCTACACCTCTGAACATACTCGTTTTCTTGTGCATTCTGACGCAAAATAACCTTGATGATTTCTTTTTCTTGATCAAGGTTCATTCCACATGGGGGTGGGGAAGGTTCGTTTAGATTTAACTGAGATGGTAAAAGGCATTCAGGACTTGTATGGCCAATGTTTTCAAGTAATTTGTCGAGGACATCATCTCCCTCTTCAATTTGAGAAAAATCTTTCTGAGATCCAAATGTTTGATGATGCCAGCCCGAAATCAGGTATGTATTTCTGCCATTGGGTGCCAAGCAGCCTTCCAAAGGTCCATACAAAACCTTCCCATCCCAAGAGTATTTCCCTGAGATATCCCTCACAATTACTCTCACATTAGAGAGAGCACCCACTGGAGACCCGTCTGCTGGTCCTTCTGTGGGTGTCTGAAGGTAAGAGATGAGGGTGCTGTCATTAAAAACAAACAGCTGCAGGTTTGGACTCCGGAACACTTCCGAGGAGAGTTCAGTGGCTTCTGCATGAGCATTGTCATGGTTCTCGCTGACCAGGCTGTGCAGCACAGCGGGGCCCCTGCGGAGAGGGAAGTGGCCCAGGTGGTTCACCAGGTGGGCCATGACCATCCGTGCAGTCAGAGGGATCAGCTCGATACTTCTTCTCTTCCTCTCTGAACAGCAGCGAAGAAACAGAGAGGTGATAGAAAGTAAAAATTCAAACTGAACACAATCAGATTTTGATCTGTACTTAGAATTGTTGATATTTTAGTTAATCTGGAGTTTTTTTCACTTAATTTCATTTTGAGAGTTTCAAAGCATGTTTTAAGTAGATTGTAAAATCTACTTACATGAAGTTTTTATTCAAGGGACATTTAGAAATCTGTAGATATAGTAATAAATACAAAAGAAAGGTCCTGTCCTTAAAGGACTGAGTGCTCCAGAAGCTCTATGGAGTCTGAATCCAGTTGAAGAGGACACAGAGAGCAGGGCTTGGGGTTGGGGATAGAGTGACCTCTCTAATCAGTGGGGTAAAGGCAGATAATGATAAGGAAATGAATGAAACCTGTGGCTGCTTATATATATGAAGCAATCTGCTTTTAAGCCATTGTGGTGGTTTATGCTTTATCACTAGGGCATTTTAAATATTTGAGAGAATTTGATATATGAGTAAGTTAGGGATACTTGGAAGGCTTTAAGTAAATCTGTAGCTGATAATTAAATGTCCAAGAGCAACTTATTTACAAACAATTTAAAATTTTAAATGTACGGGAAGACAACAGTAGCATGTAAACATAACTCATAAAATATTTGAGGTATGAGAAACAGTAAAACCTATATTAAATCCACAAATATGCACTAAATGACTATTTAAACTTGAGGGTACATAGAAAAATTTGAATCTGTCAAATTTAGAACAGAGTTGTGCATTAATCTAAGAACAATTAAAATGAAACCTAATTTTAATAAAAATGTTGCCATTTAAATAAACTAAGATCTGGAATATGGGCTTAAAGGTTTGGGGAATACTTGATTTGTAAATTCTGAATGCAAAAAAATCAAATGTAAATACCTATAAATATGCTTTTTCATTTGAAAAAGCCATCCTCTCAGACATTAAAAATCCTACTGGGTTATTTATAAAACATTAATTGTATGACATTTAAATCCTAGAAGCAATCAAATCCTGGAGTCTAGGAACTTCTGTGTGACAACTAACAAGATTGTCCTGACTTTCTGGGGGTTCATTATCTTCCTTTTCAATGAGCACGAAATTATTTTCATTCAGTATGTGAAATGAAATTCTATATTTAAAAAATTCTCATCTTTTAGAAGCAAAGGAGAGCATCTACACCAATCTCTGAAGTTAACTGTTTTCTTCCCAATCCTTGTGGAAGTGTACATGATTTTCATATAGTGGAAAAACTTAAGCCATCAACTAATTTTCTTGATTTATGAAAGTGTTTGCTTTTGTGTTCATATTAACTTTCCAAAGTTACAGATGTTCCTTGTTCATTCTTATTTCATGTGAATGTATGTGCCATCAGAAGTGTTAAAGTCCCAACACACCTAGGGGCCCAGTGCTGAGTGGGGATGGCATTTTACAGTAGATTATGAAAATAACAAAAAAGTTCTAATTTGATAAAATTCAATGCAGAAAACAAGAAAAACAACTTTTCTCAGTTTTGTGCTTTCAACTTGAGATGGATATAATAATTTTTGTTTTAAATGAATGTGTTTTGAGTTCTCCAGTGGGAAATTAACCTGGATTCACACTAGTCAAGTCAAAATCAGAACACATTCAATAAAAACCAAAAATATGGTTTTGGTGCTAAGAAGTAAGAAAGGATAATATTTGTAAAATAAGTATTAACAGGGGCCCTCCCTGGTGGCACAGCGGGTTAAAGCACAGCACTACGAAGCTAAAGCCACTTCAGCATGAGTTCGATCCCTGGCCCCAAAGGTGACCCACATGGTGTGGCAGACCTCTCCTGACCCGCCCACTACTCCCCTCAGCAGTGTACTTCATCAGTCGGCCTGTTCTGCTCCCCACTCTGTCTCTAGTGAATTCTCTCATCACCCCTGCAACCTTGCCTGTATCCCAGTTCTGTATACATAAATAAATAAATCTTTTTTTAAAAAAAAAGGATTAACAGACTTCAGCAAAATCAGCTGCCTGACAGTTTGCTCAAAATGAAGAAAAATAATCCAGATTTCATTAATGAAGAACAAGTTCATGATTTCCACAAACTATGACAAATACCTTTTAAATATTTTTTTTCAGTTTTCTAAAATTAGAGATGAAATATAAAAAGGTAATTTTAGATTGCCCTTTAACTTTCATTTTTAAAAGTTTGTCCTCTCCCTTTGTAAGAAATTAGGTATTAGCAATCACACAATTGAGCACATGTGCAAGCTACTCCTTGAACTGGGCCAGAAGCCACCTCAGCTGTAGGTACTTGACTCATGGTTGTAACTCTACTTCAAAGTAGTAATTACAGTAAATAGTAGATAATGGTCTTTGAAGGAATCACTTGAAAATAATAAATAAAAATAAATATTGCTTATTGGAAACATTTTCTGAGTAGAAATGGTTTGGTTATGATTGATGAGTTATTATGACAGTGAATAAGAAAAGAAAACTCAAGTACAAGCACATTTAACCTAAAATTCCTAAGCTATTATTTTTATTTTCCTCTTTACCCTTACTGGGAAGTAGCACTCAGAGAATGGCTATGCATACTAGTATGTTTCTAGGCTTCTTTCCTTTGTTATTTAAAATATAAATTAAAAATTAGAAAACTCCTCTGCAAAATAAAAGATTATTTTTAGTGCTGCAGACCTGTTAGGAAAAGTTTGCATACTGTCCTCAAGTTTTCTGAAGAATGAATATTCAAGTCAGTGTTAGTACATCAAAAGAAAAGTGGTACCAAAATTAAAATGTCCATTTTCAGAGTTATCCTTTTTTTACACTAACATATTAATGCTGCTGTTTTCAAGGGACTAGTCATAAGTGAGGAACTTAGGCATAGCCATGTATGATGAGTGTAAATTAATAACTTTAGGAAAGATAATTTTCTTGTAAGATGTACTGCAAAGTAGGAAACAACAAAAGAAACAGATCAAGGGTCACTCTTGATCATTTAAAAATATATTTCTAACTGGAAAAGAAGTCAAGAAACTTTCAAATTTAAAAGGACAATGAACTCTAGGAAAAGGCAATTAAATAATTAAGCAAAAGAAGGGAGCCAAGAGGACACATGGGTATGTGTGTGTTGTACATTCTGGCCATGTATCATCTACCAGCTACACAACTTATAATGACAGTCTTTATGTTACTCTAAAACAAAACCTCAGAGGATAAACACTTTATAATTTGGGAACTTGGTCTCCTCACTGCAGGGCTCTATTGTCCTCTTCCTCCTCACCCTTACCTATCCTTTTCTGTCAGCTAAAGCAGGATAGCATCTGAAAGCTCTGCCCTGGCCAATCACCTCCCCCATCCACTGCCTGATCTGTGCTTAATCTCTTCACCAAAGTGCCATAAAAGGGCCTGTGCTGGATTCTGAAGCGCCACCTCGCAGGTCACCTGCTCATGCTATCTGGCTATAGAATAAACTGCTCTACCCATATCATGTGGCAAAACTCACTACCAAACAGGTTGCTGGGAAATGCAACTGCTCTGTTTTGGACTCCCTGAGCTTCTGAAGTACCCAACATTGCTCAGCTTTTGTAGCTTTTTACTCATTTTCTTCCCTTAAGCTCCTAAAAATAACTCTTGGTTTTTTCCATTTCCCTGACTTTGCTCTCCTGGTGACAGTCCCTCATTCCTTTTCTTTAAGGCTGGATATTCTAACACTCCAAACTTTTATATATATATATATTAAAGATTGATTTATTTATTTGTACAGAACTGGGGTATAGGCCAGAGATGTGGAGGTTGAGAGGATTCACCAGAGACAGAGTAGGGAGCAGAACAGGCAGATAGACGAAGTACACTGCTGAGGGGAGCAGCGGGTGGGTCAGGAGAGGTCTGCCTCACCATGTGGATCTCCTCTGGGGCAGGCGGGGATCGAACTCATGCAGAAGTGACTTAAGCTTCTTAGTGCGGTGCTTTAACCCGCTGCACCACCAGGGAGGGCTCCAAACTTATATTTTTTAAGACTTTAAACTTTTAGAAATTTAAGATTCACATGCACTTATAAGAAAAAATATAGAGATCCCCAATATCTTTCACCCAAATTGTAACATTTTGCATAGCTATGGTATAATATCACAACCAGAAAACTGACATCCATACAATTTATCAGTTTTCACTTGACTAGTTTTATATGTTCTTTGAAGTTGTTTGGTTCTGTGTAATTTTATCATATCCAAATTTAGACTCAGATTCCTATGATAGGCTCTTATCATTTTAAGTGGTGTTAAGTCCTGCTGATACCCACATGCTTCAAAATAGCCCCTCTGCTTTGAAAGGAGCAATCCTCAAACTATGACAAGTCAACCCTATTTCATGCTTCCTAATGCTCTCATAGTATGGTACACTTTATGAATTCCTTTCAAAGTGTGTACATGCTTCTGAGTCTGGCTTAAGCCATTCTCCATGGGAAAACCCCAGAGAAGTCCAGCATTAACTGGTCTTTCCCAGTAAATATAAAGTTTGTTGGATATAAGGAAATGAGTCTTTTTCTTTTTTAGGTCACATGGGTCTGAGACATAATTTCTCAGTAAAACAAAATTCAACTAATCCAGGAAAAGAGAAGGGAGGAGACGAAACAGGAAATAAAAAAAGGAAGGAAGAATTTGCTATCACAGAGGACTTTAGAAACCAGGATTCAAATAACTAGATTAAACAGAAAAAACACAGCAAGCATAGGCAAAGGCTATAATCCTTCCTTTTCCTGACCACAAGAATTACTATTCTGAAGACTCTCACCCTCTTCAACAGTAAGCAGGTTGCCCAAATCTGTTGATGAATGATATTGCAGCTGCTCAGAACTCTTCACATTTGCCAGTGGCAGGAAGGGGTCATAATCTGAGGATGACAGATCAGCCAGGGTCAGTGTATAATGACTCTGTTGTGTGTATGTACTCGAACCACACACACAACAGTGTAGAACCTGTGAAAAACAGAAGGGAATAGATGTCATAAAAGTTTACCAAACTCTCGTCTCCGACAATCTGTCCAAGTCAAAGTACTTAGGAGGTAGGCTTCTGACTTGTTAATAATTGTAATCACTGAATCTTTTTTATTCTAAACTATCTTCTTGCTATTACTATGTTTATTTTTGCTATATTTACTTCAGTGCCAATAAATATATTCTTGAAGCAAAAAACAAAAGTAAAAACATGCTTATTTTGCTCTTCTACCCCGGTTTACCAGAGGCAACACAAGTAGAAAACTAAATCAGATGAAGTCACAGTCTAGACAACCAGCACCCAAGGTGAAGGGCAGAATGGAACTAATTAATAGAGACCACTAGTGTATTCCATAATCATGCATGAATTTGAATTAGTATCTCTTGACCTCATAAATTGGAAGAGCTAACTTAGTATAATTTTTAACCTGGTCTTATTTTTCACAAGATTAATTTTCCTAAAAGCTCACTGGCTGTTTCAAATTGTAGTTTGCTGAAGCTCTATTTACTGCTGTTTATACTTGAAGACATATAAGCCATACAAATGCAAATCATTCTGAGTAAGCAAAAATGTATAAAATGAACTTATAAATTTGTACTAAATTCTATTTCTACATCATAAATAAAAAAACCTGATTTTTATTAAAACCAAAGTAATGCTTTAGAAAGAAAGGAAATCTTTTGGATTAAAGATATTTATGGACAATAAATTTACTCTTTTTAGATGACTACTTTTGATGTGCCCATAAGTCACAGGGCTTGTGTCAGGTAGGTTGATGGTCTCCAAATTCGGTTCCTCCTATGTATATTGTTTCTCAGGGACTGGAGAAACTAACTTTGCACATGGTTAAAAGTACCAAGAATTGTGGTTTGCAGAGAACAGTCACCTGAATATGTTTTTTCCTAGCAAAAAAAGTTGTATAGAAAAATTCTTATGGTACTTTCTTACTCATATAATCATCAGGCTTTTGCTATTGAAAGAATGACAGTAAATGGAAAAACCATAATGCAATACCAAAGTGTACCTATGAAATAGCAAAGTATTAGCAAGAATATGGAGCAGCTGCAGTTCCCATACACTATTGTTGATTATGTAAAGTACCAACAATAAATCTGAAAAATTATTTAGCATTCACCTGCTTTTATATTCTACAAACTCTACTTCTAGGTATTTATCCAACAGAAATGCATACATAGGAATACCAAAAAGCATGCTAGAATAGAGTACAGAGTAAATTACAGAGTATATTTTTATGGTCCCAAACTCTAAATTATTCAAATGTCCATCAATCATAGCATGTGACTTAATAAATTGTGATTTATTCTCACTGTATGATACTAAGTAGCCATGAAAAAACTACAACTCTTTACAATATGAAAGAATCTGTCAAAAATAATGTTGAGAGAAGGATGCACTTTAGATTTACTCAAAGACATATGAGTCTAACAATATGAAGTTTAATAATAGGGAAAACTAGTGTATGCTGTTATTACTGATAGAACAGTGGTTATGCCTGGATATGTGGATGGGTTAGTGATTTGGAGGAGGCACAATAAGGGCTTCTGGGATGCTAAGAATGTTCTGTGTCTAGAACTGGGATCTGGTGCTTGCCTTTTGAAAATGTATCAAGTTTTGCAGTTTTTTCAAGGCACATATTCTTCCATAAAAAGTTTTCCTTAAAAGTACAACAGTTATTTAATAAATGTAGAAATTATGCTAACTATATAGTGACTTCAATATCAATAAGCAATTTTAAGAATGATTTAAGGAAAGAAGTAAGTTCAAAAGGAAGAATTTAAGCAATTATGGCTACTTGACTTAAGCCAAGTTTCATATAGGTTTTAAGTTAAAAGATGAAAAAAGTATTATAAAGTTAATCCTAACATAGTTATTAAAATCTTTGAGCACTGATTACACCATTTAAAAATACATAGTAATTTTTTTCAGTAATATTCAACCACTGTATTTTTTTTAATTTAATACATGCTAAAGTATTAGTCATCAGTTATTGACTTAATCTCTTATTTTTACATTAAAGGTTGTTACTAAAAAACAAACAAAGAAAGAAAAACTCCAATAGAACTGTCCAGAACTATTAAAAATCTCCAACAGAACTATTGAAAAATAAAAATTATTTAGTGGACACACAAATGATAAATCTATGCATAAACAAATCAGGTTTTGCATAAGAATGGCTATAGAAGGGTAGTATGTATATGTGTATGTGCATATGCATATATATAGAAGGATCTACAGTAAAGGCCACTAATCACTAACAGGGAGTGAAACCCATATATTTTATGTGCTGTAACAAGGTTAATTATATTGAAGTGATTTATTTATTTCTTATATTTTTTTAAAGCAAGGAATTAAAGGTCATTATACATTTTTCTTCCTTTGATAACATGCTTTATCAAACTAAGGCTGTGTATATTCTTAAAACAATTCTTTCAAAAAAAAAGTAGATTCAGATCATATTACCTGAAAATTGAAGAAATACAATCAAAATGCAATTGTTTAACGTTAGCAGTCATATATCAATCACTTAGTAATTATTGCTTCTTTACAACTATTCTGTTTTCACCCTTTCAGTTATTCATTCCTTCAAACTGTTAACCCCATCATAAATCCTTTTCTAATGAGCATAGAGAAATAAGCAAATGTAAAAAGCATATTTTGGTCATGGTGACACTTAAGTCCACATTTATAATCCTGAGGTACAGCTCGAAACTCACCCTGTAGATATAATCCAGTAAGGGGGCTCTGGGTGAGTGATGTTCCTCCAAGGCTGCTGTGGACACTGGGTGGAGAAGGGCACTCACTGGCAATGCCATGCACCAATCCAAGAGGCACAGTAGCAAGGACACAATAAACTGGAAGAGAAAACAGGCCCAGTAGCTTACGTTACAACACAACTGCACTTCACTACAGGTTATTACAGATGCTAAAATTGTCCTGGCATAATAATAATTATTCAATAGGCAGACTAATGCCAAACAAATGCATGAAAGTTTTCACAGGAGAGATAGTTAGTGCCAATAGAAAAATGATATCCCTCATGTAACATTAGTTATCAGTCTGACACTTTTAAAAATCAAGTATAGAGAGGCCCTCCCTGGTGGCACAGCGGGTTAAAGCACAGCACTAAGAAGCTAAAGCCACTTCCATATGAGTACGATTCCTGCCTGCCCCGGAGGTGACCACATGGCGTGGCAGACCTCTCCTGACCTGCCTGCTGCTCCCTCAGCAGTGTACTTCCTAGATCTGCCTGTTCTGTTCCCCACTCTGTCTCTGGTGAAGCCTCTCGCCGCCCCTGAGCCTCTGGCCTATACCCCAGTTCTGTATGCACAAATAAGTAAATCTTTAAAAAAAATAAATTATAGAGAATAGATAGTTAATATACTACCTACCTTCTTATCTGTTTCTACTGAGGAGTACTCTGCGCTGGGTAAAAGAAAAGCAATGGTTGCCACAAGAATCTGCATAAAAACAAATGTGCGGTCAAGTAGTAAAAAGTTAACATCCAAAACAAATAAAGAACTCATATAAGTAAAGCAAAAGAAAATTATATCCAATTTAAAATGAGCAGATCTCAAAAAGCATTTTTCCAAAGGAGACATATAGATGGCCAATAGGTATACCATCACTAATCATTGGGAAATGCAAATCAAACCACAGTAAGATTTATCATCTTGTGCCTGTTATATTGACTACTATCAAAAAGACAAGAAAGCACTTGTGTTGGTGAGGTTATGGAGAAAAGAGAGTTCTTGTGCACTGTTCATGGAATTTAAATTTGTCCAATCACTAATGAAGAACCTCAAACAACTAAAACTAGAACTACTGTATGATCCACCAATTCCACTTCTGGGTATATATTGAAGAAAATGAAAACACTAACTTGAATGATAAGCACAGTCATTTTCAGTGCAATGTTATTTATAATAGCAAAGATAATGGAAACAACCTATGTGTTAACTGGTAGATGAATGGATAAAGAAAATGGGATAATTATCTATAATGGGATACCATTCAGAAATAAAAAGTAATGAAATCTTATGTTGAAAATAAGTTCTAATGTATTTATGTATGTGAATGCTTCAAAAAAGTTACAGACATATCCAACTGTTGTATGTTTGTGGGGGAAGGAAATGAGGATTGAAGATTCCTGTCAAGAAGGAAATTTTGTCATTTGAAACAACATAGATCTTGAAGGAATTATACTAAGTCAGGCAGAAAAAGACAACTACTGTATGATTCATATATATGTGTGGAATCTAAAAAAACAAAAACAAAAACAAAAATAATCAAGTTGATAAATACAGAGAACAAATTTCTTGCTGACAGAGTGACAGAGAAGAGAGTAGGTGAAATGGGTGAAGGGAATCAAAATGTACAAACATCCAGTTATAAATAAGGAAAGTCATGAGAGATATAATGCATAGCATGGTATAATGCAATGCATACTATAATTGGTAGTACTGCATTGCATATTTGAAAGTTGCTAAGAGAGTAAAACTTAAAAGCTCTCATCATAAGAAAAAGGAATTTGTTACTATGTATAGTGATAGATGTTAACTATAATTCTTGTGTGATCATTTCAAAATGTATACAAATATAAAAACTGAAACTAATAATGTTCTATGTCAATTATACCTCAATTAAAATAAGACATAATGGACCCTCCCTGGTGGCACAGTGGGTTAAAGCACAGCACTAAGAAGCTAAAGCCTCTTCTGCATGAGTTTAACCCCTGCCCCAGAGGTGAGCCACATGGCGCAGCAGATCTCTCCTGATCCATCCACTGCTCCCCTCAGCAGTGTACTTAGTCATTCAGCCTGTTCTGCTCCCCACTCTGTCTCTGGTGAATCCTCTCACTGCCCCTGTAACCTCTGGCCTGTATCCCAGATCTGTATGCATAAATAAAAAGATGTGGTAAACATATACACGATTACTCAGCAATCAAAAAAGATAAACTCATTCATTTTGCAGCAACATGGATGGAGCTGGAAGGGATCATGCTTAGTGAAATAAGCCAGAAAGAAAAAGAAAAATACCAAATGGTTTCACTCCTAGTAGGAGCATAAGGGACCAAGGGAAAAAGAAAACAACAAAACTAATACTGAACAACTATATACCAGAGACGGTTTACGGGGGTTGAGTGGGGAATGGGATAAAAAATGGGGGAAGTGTACTGGACTATGGTTATGGCACATAGGTTATTTGGTGATGGGAAACCCATGGGGATTACAGCTGAGATGGAAAAAGGCACAAAATGATGTAAAAATAAACTATTATTTAAAAAAAAAAAAGCAAAGCAAATTTAGGAATATGTGTGACCTTGAAACTTTGGAAGGCAATGGCCAGTTTCTATTCTATTTTACTGATGGTAAAAACTGGGGGTTCTAGAGAAACGAGTATTTATTTCACAAGACTTCTATCATCAATCTCCACACTTTTCACAATGAATTAAAAAAAGGCAAAAATAATTTTGAAAATTCTCTCATTCAATTCCCTTATAAATTATCCCAGGTTTCCATGTGCTGTCCTAGTGTACTAGCACTGCTTCATTCTCACAAGTAACCATTATGATGTTACATTACAAAGTTATCCTAAAACCAAACTTTACATCTTACATTATCTTATACTCATATGTCGAAAACTATTTCACACTAGGCCATTTAAAGTCAAAATTCAAAGATTTTTGATGTATTGTTAAAAGAACAAATTGGCTACACTGGTAAAATTTATTTAGGGTAGAGAGAAATAATCAGTAATATTTCTTCTCTCTCATGTAATTCCACATGGGGACCAATCAATTTTCCTTGAAGAATTATCAAGGAGTATGTAAAGAACAGAGAATCTGTAAGAAGTGCAGCTATAAAAACTAGTAAAACGGACGTGCCTTTCCACCAAGCACCTGTGGGGCTGGTGGTACCTGCTCCTATACAAGTAAAGACCCCCTTGTCCCCATCTTCGATGGGAATATCACTGAGCTGATTCTTCCTGTCCCTGGTGCACCTCTCCTCTACCAGTTGTCCCCACAGAGTATATTACAGCAGCCACCTCATTTCAGCTGGGTAATCACGCCACAGCAGAAAGTGTGGTCTTCTGTCTGGGAGAAGCTACTGTTTTCCACACGAGTACCCCCACGGCATCTCTATGAAGGGCCATCAGGAGCAGCTGCCTACTCCTTGTTGGCACCATCCAAATTACTCTCGATGAATGAAGTCCTATCTACAAAAGGTCTCTTTGTTGTGGTAGCGTCTGCCTTTCAAATTCCCCAAATGGAAGATTCCGCCCTAGAACACTGGTGGCTTCTTCACATAGTGCCTGGGATCACAGCTGAGAAGAACCAAAGCAATTTAACCTTAAAATGAATGAATGACTCACATGGCAATTTAATAGTCAGTTCTCCAATAATGGTTTGAATATGTATAGTTAATTAAATATCAATTCTAATAAGCAATGAAAATAGCAAATAATAGTAAAACTTTTTAAAAATCATAAGAAAAAGGCTTACCTCTGCAATTTTCCGAGGCAGAGAAGTTTCAAACAGCTGAAGCTTTTCCCAGTAGGAGACTAGCAACTGAAGAACATCACAAGCTACCTGAGCCACAATTTTGTTTGGAAACTATGAATGGAAAGAAAAGCCAAACTAAATAATCTAACATGACAAGTACATAATTCTTAAGAAAGAACAGTTATTCCTTCACGCAGGGATGCATTTTTTTGTGTAAATTTATGAAAAATGTATTCCAATGCCAGTTAGTTTATACGTGATGATTGTTCTGTAACAGCCTCCTGTCTAGACTAACTGCATTAATTTACATAACATTCTATAGAAACAAGGAGCTCGCATTTGAATCATTTGGAAACTGAAACCATCATTTCAAATGGTTCATGGAGGTCACACAATTTTTGACAATTAGAGAAAATCAAAATTCAGTGTATTATTATCACCTGCATACAGAACCTCTTACAAGACTTTCATTCATTTTTCCTTTGATAAATCTTCACTAACAGCTTAGTGACATCGATGTTATTGTCACTTTACACAGGAGAAACAGAGATTGATCAAATAATTTTCTATCCTATGAAATTGAACTTAATTTGCATGTAATACATACCATGAAAAGTGAAAACAAAATGGGATGGTGAGACCATAATTCCCAAGTATATTTAATTACATTAAGATGTTTTCTGAGACAGGTCACCACCAAGACCTTCTGGGTGTTTCCGTTTCCTGTGACATAATATTCACAAGGGAATGGACACTCAGCTGTCTAATTTTTCATGCCAGTGGTGCATGAAAGGGGTGAGAGTACCCTGTGCTTCTCTCCCTGGCCAAACCTGGGATGACACTGTTATCCAGACTCAATGCCTAGGATGAGATAGTTAATCGCTGAGCCTATGTATGTCCTTTGCTCAGGAAAGCTGTGGATACATAGGTGAGAACAGCTATGGGTGTTGGGAGGGGGGAAGGTGAGAGGGCCACACTGTAGAGATGGTGTTGTGGAGGGTGCAGAGAGCTAAGCTGGGCCTGAAAAAATGCAGAGGGAGCCTGTGTTTCTTTTGAGACAAGACACAGGCATTGAAGCAAGAGAGGTAGCTCTGGAGGACTATAAGAGGGTGGTATTAACAACACAGAGAGCTGTACGGAATGGTGGGTTGAATAAATCATCCATTCACTCTCTCCTCTAGTGCCTATTCCTAAAGTACTGACAATGTGCCAGCAATGAATTAAAAGCACAAGGCCAAGATGAGCAGGGCAAATACAGTCACTGCTACGAGGAGCTGACAGTCTCGGGCAGGCAGAGACCTGCTTGTGTGTGTCCCTGAATGGGATGCCACGTTCCCTAGTCCAGGTCAGGAGGTCAGGTCTGAGTGGAGACTGATTCCTCAGGTGGCAATATGGAGAGCAGAGATCTGTGGGATCTGTGGCACCGTGGTAGGAGGGCTCAGGGAAGCTGGCCCAGAGGCTCAGTAATGCGCAGAGGGAAACAGCTGTGTCAGAGGTGGCCTAGACAGCAGGTAGGATGGAGTGTTCAGGACTCTATGGCTACAAAGCATGGTGAGGTGAGGAGGAGACAGTCAATTATCTCCTAAGACAGAATAAGAGATGGAGCAGCAGATGGGGCTGAACATCAGGGATTCGGAGCTCCCTCTTCTTATTCATGCTGCCTGGGAGACAGGGTCAAGCAGCTTGCATGACTCTGAACCCACATCACCATTCTAGTGCCCTTCTCTTCCCCTGTGCGATGCCTACTGAAACTCTGTAAAGCACAGCTCTGGCTTAGAATATATTTTGCCACTTCTACCACTCAGACACTACTCCACCAGAGCCAAAGATAGCTGAGCGGAAGTCTCCAGGCAGTTGAACTGTTCTCACACTGTTTTGTTTACTGTGTAGCCACAGGCTGGTTTTCACTGATGCCCCATGGGGAGCATTTCGCTAGTCCACACTGACCATGGCAGCCATTATCCAAGGGAACACCAAGACCAACTTAGACATAGGTTTCTGAAGGGCCTGGCTCCAGTTTCCTGCCACCTAACCCTCTCAATTCTCCTCCACCTTTCATTTCTTTTCCGGATGTGGAGCCCCAAGTCTCCCTGAGGCACCTCTCCTCAAAGTGGCTGCTGTCCCCTGCCCTTGTCTCTATTCTTTCTCTTCTATTCTTGATCCTCTCAGATACATGCACTACAAAGGAACCCAGGGGGCACAGCAATGCAGGCAAAAGAGGAAGGGTGCAGTGGGCTGCACCAGTGACAGGACTTTTGTTGATGAGTTTTCCCATTTTCATAAAGGTTAAAGGGAGAATTGAATTGGCTAATCCTGGCTCATGGATTTCTTAGCAATTCAAGCTGGAGCAAGGTCATGGCCTGTCTCACATCCATTTTTTTTTTTTTTGATTTCTACAACAGAGAGAGCAGAGGAATCTATGAGGTGGGGGATTTGATGGAATAGGCCATACATTGCTGGGACACCCCTGACTGAGCAGGGTTCAATAAATGGCAGGCTTTTTTTTTTATGCCTTACATTTTTCTTCAAAACTTTGAAACATTACAGACATTTTGAAAATTTGTAAAAACTAAAAAAAGTCTCATTTCATATCCTGCTACTCAACCTCTATCTATTTTCTATTTTTATATCTGTATCTCTCTTTCATTCTCAACTTTAAGATTTTTTTAAATCTAGAAATGTACATTTAACACACATTACATTTCACATAGATAAACTACTGATACCCAACTTTTTTACTTTAATGAGTGGCAGGAGTATTTTCACATTGCAGTTGGCAAAAGCCCAGACTCAGAGCCAGAGGACTCTGTCTTTTGACCTGGGAAAGCTCCGTAGCTCCCACTCAGCTTACTTTCCTCTTCTGTGAAGTGGAGGTGGCAGTGACCCTCCAACGTCAAGGGTGGCTCTAAGGAGCAGAGGTCAGCGTCCTGCTCTGACTAACAAGAGCACTCCTCAGCAATGTCTTTGTGGGGTCAATTATCTATTCCTGCTGTAGAAATCAGCAGCTATCATTTTTCTGCCACTCAGGATATAAATGGCACCCTCAGGTGTTGCAAGGAGAGAAGACAAAAGTGACAGAGAGGGTTGTTAGGTACTATACTTAGGGAGCAGGAGGTAATCCAGTTTGGCCAGGAGAAGAGGTGGGTGAAAATCTGTCTACAAAGGCTGGCAGGGCCTATAATCCCCTTTGGGTTTATAGCACCCTTGGGCTAAAGCACAACATTGTGGCACAAGGGCTGGTACAGGCCTGGCAATGACTGTTCCAAGTGTCAGCTGTGTAGTGACTGTGACTATTATAACAGCATAGGCAGGTAACAGATAAGAGTAGAAAAAAGCCTGTATTTTGATATCAGAGAGCAAGTTTAGGGTTTGAAATTGGCTTGACCTAGCTGCTGGTCCAGAGTCTTGAAAAAGTTTTTTAAACTTTCCTGTACCTCAGTTCCTCCACTGTGAAATGGGATACTTAACTTCACAACTGAGACTTCCATAAACCCTAAGCAGAGTACCTGGCAGAGACTGGGCATTCACTGCTTTGAGCAATGCTAACTATTCCCACTATTTAAACAGGAGCCAGTCTGGTGGGATTTGAGCTCTGGTTTATGAAGTGGCCTAACAGCCCATATAAGTGATAGTTCCAGTCACTTATACCCACGTATTTTTACAATTTAATTTGTCTGAGCCTTGCTTTGCTCTCATGTAGAATAGGGAAGGAAGAACTGTCATAAAGGTTAATAAGTGGTATTTAGGGACTATCAACATGTTGGCCAAGTGTGAGTGCCCTGTAAATACAGTTCTTCTCAATAACAAATCAAAGAGAGAAAGGTGTTTTAAAATTACTGAGGCAGGCTCTCCCTGGTGGCGCAACAGGTTAAAGCACCACATTATGAAGCTCTCCAAAGCCACTGCAGCACAAGTTCAATCCCTGGCCAGGAAGCTGACCCACATGGCATGGTAGACTCTCCTGACCCACCCACTGCTCCCCTCAGCAGTATACTTTGTCAATCTGCCTGTTCTGCTCCCCACTCTGTCCTTGGTGAATCCTCTCACCCACCACATCTCTGGCCCATACCCCAGTTCTGTAAGCATCGCATGCATAAATGAATGAATAAGTGAATGAATAAATAAATAAATAAATAAATCTTTTAAAAAGAAATTACCCAGGCCTAGCTGATGGTGAGCACACTCAGGACTCCTGACCAGAAACTGTCAGGTTTTTCCTGGTCCTGTTAAGAAGGTGAGGGCATGCAATCTCACTTTCGTATCACCCCCACCAGCAGATGACAGGTATCCTGTCATAGGAGATATCCAGTAACCAAAAGAAGCTCAACTGACTACACTGGAATCATACAGCTCTGTGATGACCAGCAAAATAAAGATGGGACTAATTCAAACTAAAAATGGTTGAATACCTGGGATATACCTCAAATATACATCATGAACCAGTAGTACCTTCAAAGTAACACCTATCACATTGACAGCTTCTTTTAGTTGAGGGTGGCTTGTACACTGTGCAAGTTCTTCACATATCCAGATACCAAGGGAGCAAATGGCAATGCATCTTTTGAAAAAAAAAAAAAAAAACAACTTATGATATTTAATGTATTTTTTGTGATATTTTCAAATTACAAATATGTTAAATCTTTTTATAGAAAATAGAAAAATTATAGATAAAGCAACAGAAAGTTTTCTTAAGAGAAGAAATAAATAAATGTCAATAGACTAGTTTTCAGGACATAAAGAACTAGATAAAGGCTAGTACTTAAGTATTAATGAAATAAGAGGTGTATATTCTGTTTATACAGTCCCTATATTACTTATTATTGCTGAAACCAACTTTTTATTACATTTTATTGTGTCAAGATATATTTAAGGAAGAAATGGATTAGAAAATTGTTGGAATTGGCTATATAATTGGTCTCCTTACAATAAAATACATGGTACTTACCACAAACAGGAAAAAAATATCCTAGAGTATCTGAAAACAACTTTCAAAGTGAGTTCCACTGCTATTTCCCTTAAACAATGTTAGATAAAATAATTTTTAAGTCGCATAGTCCTTTAAAAATTGCCTTTCATAACTCTAAACCATTTAAAATGTTAATACTATTTGGAATTAATATATTCAATTATCTTTTGCAATGATCAAGGTATCACATTTTTTCCCTTAAAGTCTCCATATAAAATTAATTACTTGCTCTCAAACCTATTCACTTTCAGAACAAAAAGTGGATTCAAACCACTACTTGGAACTAGACATTAGCAGTATTCTTAAGACTAAGCTGACACTGATGTCAAACTAGACATACATTTAGTTCTCCATACTGAAATGTCCTTTGTCTTTTATATAATTCAGCAATATTATATATTATATATATTAAATATTATTTTAAGGCTTTAAAAATACTTTATTTTACTGGATTCTCACCTTTTAAAATTAGGACAGAAAATGTGTTACATAGCAAGTTTACTTAAATTGTCTTTCAAGATCATGTTATTCCACCAAAATTCATTCAGTAAAAGCAATTTATAAGGCATGTCAGTTATTTTCTGTTTCTCCAATAGCAGCATTACACAGGAGTTACATGTTTCTAAACCTTCCTTACTGCACAGAATTCTCCAAACCTATCTTCTCTTGCCAATTTCTATGCTTATTCTCAAAGAAATGGCACTTTATGATCTTAGACCTAGGTACTCTATATTCTTTCAAAAAGTCTTTTTTCTCTCCAGTTTAACAGAATTCTGTTTAACCCACTAAAACCTATATAATTTGTAACTATATTCAAAATCAATTTTCACCAACTGAAGACCCTCCTTTTCCTGTTATAGTCTCTCACCCTTTGCATGCATGCATGTGCACATTTGTATATGAACACACATTTATTTTTAGAATTCTTAATCTACCAATTAAATACAATTTGTTAAGTGAAAAGATCTTTCATTTTATTGCTCTATTAGCATTATGCAGAACATTTGTAAACCATACAAGGGTTTTCTAATCTCAGCTCCCCTCACGACTTTTGAGTTTTAAGCCTTGATTATAAATAGCATTTTCAAGCTATTCTTATTCTCTTTTTATCATTTTACATTCTATTTAGCATTTGCACATTTTAATACTCTAAGTTGTTCCCATGCTTAGAGTTTTCTGTCCACTAAGGTTCTCTGTAACTTCAGTATGTTATTTCTTTCTCAATCCAAATGAGTTTTAGCTACCAAGATAATACTTTTCTTTTTTAAGATAATGGCAGTACTACTCTCAGTTTTATTCTATATTTTTAATACTACTCTCCTGATAATGGTTTGTTACATGCCATCTCATAATGCTCCAATTTACATAACAAAACCTCTCTTTTTCTTAGCTATTGTCATTCACAATTGTAACTCTATTTGCTTAATTTTTGCTGCTCTTATTTGAAGTTTTCATGTTTCACTTTGTTTGCTTATCTAAACTTACCTTAATTTCATTCTATGACATCTCTTATAGATAACTAAGGAAAACTGATCATATCATATACATTTGTTTTCTATTTTTAGTTCCACAGAAATTTGATTTCCTATATTAAAAGAGAGAGAGAGACAAAAATATTGCTAAAACTTGTTGGACATTTGAAAGTGGTGAGGGTGAGAAAAGGAAACTAAAGAATTTATTCAAAGTTTTTGGATTGAAAATCCATTTGAGTAGATGAAGCTACTGTTTGTCTGAGGGAGAGGAAATGCAGAATCAAGCATTGGCTTGATTCTTGTGTTAAGTCTGGATGTCTTAAGACATCTATATTGAGATGGTAAATAGCCCATTACTATGTCTAATATAGAAGGAATTCACAAAATGGGCCAGGTAAATAAATTCAGTATCATCAGAAAGTAGGTGGTAATTCAATTTTGTTTAGAAAAAACAGCACCATCTAGAAAAGTCACTGAGAAGAGACAAAGTCCTAAATGTGAGTCACTCTAACCATCCAGAGATTAGGCAGAAGAGGGAGACAAGAAAGGAGTAGCTGTTGTCATATAACAGAAAATCAGGTAAGGGCCTGGCATTGTTCAGGGAAAGGGTAAAAACAGATTAATTTCAAGAGTAAAAACAGATTAATTTCAACATTAAAATGTCTACAGTTAACACTGTAAAAGAACTGAGAGTTTGTGATTTTTTATAAAACCCAGGAGTAATAAGTGGAATGTGGAAAAATATATCTGAAAGAGAAAGGAAGAGGAGAAGGAAAGAACAGGGGAGAAATAAAGGAAAGTAAATTAAAGAAATTTTGAGAAGGACCAAAAATAAATAATAAAACTTAGATTACAGACCTATATCCATGTATATATTAGTAACTGTAATAAATGCAAAAGAATTGTGCTTCAGTTAAAGGTAGAAATCAGAGAGGATAGATGCATAAAATCAAGCATGTTTAGTTTTTGCAAAGATATATACAAGCAAAGAATACAGAAAAATTAAGCTTTAAAGGATAGAAAACTATAAAAGTAGCTAAAGCAGCATCAGATAAACAGTTGTTAAAACAAATCATCCTTAAAGATGATCGATCAATACAGGATCGGATTCACAGAGATATGATAACTAAATTTCTATGTAACCAATAATGTAGCTTCAAAATACAAAAAGCAAAAATTCACAAATATGTAAGAGAAATATTCTATAACAGTAAGAGATTTTTAACATCTCTCAATAAAATCAATATGAGAAAAATTATAAAGGGTATGGAATATTTAAAGAATATAATTTAAAAAAACTAACCTAGGTAAAAAAGAATACATCTAAAATATACTTTCCCAGAATATATGGGACATTTGCATTAACTATAATGGGACATAAACTGGATTATAAAGTAAATATCAACATTCAGAGGTCATTATCAGACAGATAACATTTTTCAACCACAAAATTAGCAAAAAGATGAATAGAAATAACCGTATGTTCAACAATTAAAAAACTTAGTTCTAAATAAGTCATGACTCAAAGAATCATCATGGAAACTGAAAAAGAATTACAAGAAAAATAATATGTATGATAAAGTAGCACCTAGAAATAAACTATATTGTTTATATTTGTAAAGAAGCAAGATTGAGAACTTACACTCTAAGTAAGCAACTTAAAAAAAAATAGGGCTTGGTAGAATGTAAAGAAAGAACATAGAAAGAGCAGAAAGTAGGAAATAAAAAATTATTTAAAATAGAAAGGCTGAACAAAGACAAAAGTTCATTCTTCGAAAAGATTAATAATGTTTACAGATGTTTACAAATTTCTAGCAAGACCAGTGAGAAAAGGAGATTACACAAAAAGTATCATATTAAAAAGTATATAGAAGTGATAGAGATAAAAGATATTAAGAGGATAATTGAGACATGTTTGCAGGTATAGTTCAAACTTAAATGGAACAGACAAATTTCTAGAAAATTTTTATTTACCTAAGCTGTCAAAAAACACCTTAATATTCCTAAAGCCTTTGAAGAAAATTAAGAGTTAATCTCTTCATGAAGAAAATACCAGAACTAGATAGTTTTACCATCAAATCTACTGAATATCTAAGAACATTAACTGACTTTACAAAAACTTTTGTTGACTTCATTTAGAGAACAGAATAGCACTTCACTCATTATAACTTGTAATCAAGCCTGGTAAGGAACAAATGGGAGAAGAAAATTACAAGCCAGAAGTGACTTTCCTCAATAGAATTTAGCCAAAGTAACTGAGTTTACTGCAAGGTTATTTTAAAATTATCAGGGTGATAATAAACTTGATAATGAATTAATTTCTGGTAATGTCAGAGTAGAAAATTTGGGCTAAAGTTCAATTGAAGATAGCAGATGATACTAAAAAAAAAAAAAACTTCAAATTATCAAAGACCTAACAAGACAATGATGAGTGACAGACCTGTATGGAGTGAGAGTGAGTTGGAAAGAGCAGAGGGAGCAGGCATCAGTCAATTCCTGGGAGGGAGCAAGGGGTTAAGTGAGGCTTCTGGCTGGAAGTTGATAGCGCTGTAAGTTGAGGGTTAGAAATGGCTACTCCCCCATGCTAGCATTTTCAGCTTTGGGGAGAAAAGGCAGGAACTTTTCATTCTGCAAGTATCCCAGAAAACCTTGTATAATGGCCACAGACTTCCAACAATCTCATGTCTTCTAGAAGCAACTGAATTATTTCCAAACATTGCCAAATGTCTGCTGTGGTTAAAAAAATCACTTCTGATTGAGAGACACTACCCCATCAAATATCATTTTAAAAGTTTATTTAGTTATCCTTCCATTTTTGTATTTAAAATAATAAGGAATACATTACAGATCTATAAATCTTATTTTTTAATATAAAATGTACTATATAATCTTTTGCATCTTATTGTTTTCACTTTAGTAATTGTGTGTTTTAGGAAAATTAAGTAAAGTATTTCCCTGACATAATTCTTATACTTTTTAGTATATATAAGAGTAATGTGGAAGAACAAGTGTTTTTCAACATTAAACATAAATGAAAATTCTAAAATAGTTTACATTTTATTAAACACTTACCTTGCACATTCATTTGGCTCCTCTGTGGCATTCTTCAGTAAAATGTTTATGAGGTAATGCTAAAAACACAAAGATATGTAAATTAAGTAAAAACTTAAAGAAAAAAATTTTTTTAAAGTTAAAGTAAAAGCTTTGTTTTATAGTCAGTTTCTCTGATACTCTGATCTGCTTCAGGCAATAGAAGCTATAGAATGATCAGGGTGAGAGAACTTCAAGGGTGGGAACCACAGGCTTAGGAAGCAACATGAAAGGTGGTCTCTGGCCATACAGTACAGAGGTTATTACCACTCTGGGCAAGTAAGCTAGCTTAAAGATGAGCGGTTCTGGGTATGCAACAAATGAGACATCTAGAAAGAAATTCTCAATTTTCTTTTAATTTCATTACATTATATCTATTACACTGTATGCATTACAGATTATCTCTTGTAGTCATGATAGATAAATAGATGATAGATAGATAGATAGGCAGGCAGGTGGGCAGATAGGAAGATGTATTCTGGTATTTGAAATTTTTGTTTGTTTGTTTATCCCAACCTCAGTTGAGGAGAGAATAAATTCTTAACTTCTATTCTCCTAGGAATAATTTGGAACTTCAAATTAGCAGGAGTATTTAATCAGTAAAAAAGTGAGATCAAATATAGAGTGTATTTGAATTATTTCTTATAAATTCATTTGATGCGCTAGTGCAGCATAATTAAACTAATAAAATTATTACAAAGGATAATTTATTGTGCAATTATAATCCACAGGCATAATAAACAGATCTTAACAAAAACCCTGAGGACCATAATAATCACTTTTAACTGAATCTAATACATATAAATCCCTCTAAATAGCCTTCTAAAAGAACTACTGAAACATTTAAATGATATAGCAAAACTCTGAGGCATAAGTAGATACTAATGGAAGAAATAAACATAGAGCTGAAATTATAAAATGCTAAAGTTTGGATTCAGTCAAATGCATTATTTACCTTGACATCGTCGGTTCCTGTAATGACCTCATTAACTTCTGGCACTGACTGCAACAAAGGGATCTCCCGGTAGGTATTAGGAAAGCAGACAAGAGAACCCAGAATGGTGAGAGCTTCTGAACGGGGCGCCTGCATACAAGAAAGGGAAGCACACAATTTTCTATTTGTAAGTCAGAAACTTTAGATAAGCTCCACGTTTTACTTTTTCATGGTTTTGAGAGGGAACTGATAACTGTTTTATCCTAGATAAAAAATATTAAACTATACCTAGTTATTTTCTCCCAGGTGAGTAAGTAGAGAATTTTCCCTAAATGAAAAAGCAAATTCCCAAAGAATGGAAAATATCACTATAGTTGGATAAACAAGCATTGTAAAAACTGGTCTACAGATAGTGAGAAAGGCAAGTGATTTACTCATGACTCATATTTTAGTCTCAATGTTCTTGACAAAACAAAGTAAATTATATTAACTTCATATTATTTTTGCTGTCAACAGAGTTAAGAAAAATTCATAATGAAGTATGACTGCAACAAGTTGTCAGAAGGTAGAAAAAGACTGTTTCATCAAGAACTATTTTACAAAACATCATTTGTACGTCAGATATGTATATCTGACTAGAAGTGAGAAACAAAATCACTGTCCATTACTGTAATCATGTATTAAAGAAGGCATTTTACTGATTTCATTTTAGCCCACACTTACTAGCATCAACCGCTAGCCAAGACTGGGAAAAGGTACAGGATTATAAAAGTGTATCATCCATCTAGCCATCCATTCCTGTCTATCTACTATTATCCAATAATTGCAATGGCGTAAGACTTAAAGAGTCCTTTCTATGCCAGCCTGGCTATAAGTGCTCTACAAACATTTCATAATGGAATGCCCTCAACAACCCACTGAAATTTAGATTAGCATCATTTCCAGTGTATATGTGAAACAGGTTCAGAGAGGTTAAACAGCTTTACAGTATCACATACCCCAAAAGTGGCAGACCCTGAATGAACTGACACTTTCTAACTACAGTTTCCACACTTGTCAGCATTTGGAGTATGAAATGAAATAGAGCTTTCCTCCACTCAGGTGGCACTATGCTGTCTGGGGTTGTGATCAAATCATAGCAGTGTGTTATATTTTAGCTTCATTCTCATCAGCACACAGGTAAACAAGACAATATAACACACACACACAGATATTCTATGGGAACCAAGATGAATCAATATTTTTCTGTTCAATATGGTTAGGATATACAGTTGGATATAAACAAGTGGAGTCAGAAAGGCAAGTGATTCAGTTTATGATTGTTTCATGTGTAAATCTCATTTTCATGATAAAAATTAACTGTTGCTAAGATTCACAAAAGGAAGAAGTCAGCCAGGCAGATGGAATGAGGAAATGAGGTGAGATGGTAAGAGTCACACTGCAGGCAGGGAATGATAAAGGCAAAGGCACCAGGGAATCTGTGGAGCTGTAAGAGGTCCCACATATAGAACCTGGAGAGCATGAGAGTTCGGATCCAGGGACTGGAGGGGGGAGGGTGTGGGTGGGTGAGTGGGTGGGCTAAAGTGGGAGTAGTCTGAGAAAGGCATTGGGGCAAGCAGAAGGGAATCATGGGCCAACTGTCATCTCATTCTACCTGAGTGATACCATCACAACCACAGCAGGAGTGGCATCCCTAAGAAGGGCCGGGATTTATAAAGAATCAATTCTCTTTCCTAGTAGGTGTTGAATAAATACTGTCTTCAGATTAAGAGTAGCCACTTATGTCTTTGTTTATCAAGTGAATACTGACCATCTTCTGGTCTGTCCTTCAGTATCATTTCTTCCATGAAGACCCCACCCAAATATCTCTCAGTATTGCCCTACAATTTTAAACTTCCAGATTAAACCAAGAGAACAATGTTCATCTAAACATAAATTGTCACAGAGAATGGGCATAATGCCTGATATTATCTCTAGAAAGGGCACCAGGATTTTTAAAGAAGCTCATGGTGATTAAAAAATTTTCAATATGAAAGTATGATTTTTTCCTCCCTGTCTAGCTTGTTCTTCAGTATTGATTTGAATGAATAAAAATAAATCTGAAGGTCCTTTGAAAAATATTATTCTAAAATCTTTTACAAAAAATAATGGAGTTGGGCCCTCCCTGGTGGCACAGCAGGTTAATGCACTGCAAAAGAAGCCTAAGCCACTTCCGCACAAGTTCGATCCTTGCCTGCTACGGAGGAGGAGATCCACATGGCGTGGCAGACCTCTCCTGACCCGCCCGCTGCTCCCCTCAGCAGTGTACTTGTTGATCTGCATGTTCTGCTCCCCACTCTGTCCCTGGTGAATTCTCTCACCCTCCGCATCTCTGGCCTGTACCCCAGCTCTGTATGAATAAATAAATAAATAAATAAATAAATAAATAAATAATGGAGTCATTATTAAAAAAAAGTTGAACAAATTCTGTACTTCCTTTTTTCCCTCTATTATTCTTTTCTTCTTTCATCCTTTCCTCCTGCACTTTTCCCTTACCTTTGCTTTTTATGCTTATATGAAAGAGTACATGAAAACCCCAGAATGCAGTAACAGTCACACAAGTTATTCAAAAACAATTTAATTAAAAATCCAGGGTTGCAATTTGAATTTACCCTGCACCAAAGAAAAAGTAGAGCAATGATGTGTCAAACAAAATTCAAGTAGTTGTATAGTGAAATAATTTCAATACAAATACTGGAAAACAGTAAGTGTAATTTTATTTACACCATTTGAAGAGGAAAAAATGACTCTGAACAGGTAGTAGTGTACAGAGCACAAATGTGACAGGTCCTTTAAATTTAAAAGTATATGAGTATTCTCTCAAAAGGCATTAAAACATCTCCCTAATAGTAGAAACAAAAGTACAGATTATAAATTCTGTGTAACCCTTAATATTCAATTGGTCTACTTGTTTCTAATGTTTCAGTGTAAGAATTCTTCCACAATGTTATGACACATTAACAAGAAAATATATACTTTTCTGGTTACAATTTTGGTGTTCTAATATTTTAAGAAAATATTTTCTATTAGACATTTACATTTATTATAAACAAACTTTATGACAATGACAGCTGCGACTACTACTAGTACTACTTCTACTACTACGGTTACTACTACAACTACTACTGCTACTTCTACTACTACAGCTACTACTACTACTATAACTACTACTACTTCTACTGCTACTACTACTTCTACTACAGCTACTACTACTACTACTTCTACTATTACAGCTACTACTACTATTACTACAACTACTACTACTACTAAAAACCTTACTGCTTATGTGCACTTTAAATTCTTTTTTAACTACAGACACCTATGTCTATACCAGCATTTTCTGGAAAATGTTAATAAGATTCTAAGAGACAAGTCTTGCTTCTGACTGTGTGAATGTGCTGAAATATTAGTGAGGATATGATTCCTCACACTCTGGCCTTTTGATGAAACGCCTTTCCAATACCAGTGTGTCATCTTATCCTACAATTTCACACATCAGCTGCCAGGGCATCTATCCGAGAGCCCAGTTTCACATTGCACTAATGAGTCAACACCTGTTAAGAGTGGAGAAATCTGAACCTTGTTAGCGATTGTGAAGCCTCCTGGGAGTTTGGATGCTGAGCATTGTCATACTCACCGCCAGCATGTCTGTACTGAGGACCCTGGCAGCAGCAGTGATGAAGTCCCCCACCAGCATTGAGAAGCCAGGCAAACCCAGGGAAAAAAATCGGGGTGGGCAATGTCTTATGATGGTATTTAAAATATCCTGAAAGGAAATGTAAGAAAACATTAACAGTAAATTTTAAGGACAAAATTTCAAAATAGATTGGTTGAATATATGGTCATTGTGTGATAACCCAAGAGAACATAGATCACATACATTTTTTTATTGAGAGGGGTGCTGGGAGAGGAGTTAGTTTAGGGCTATTGACCCACTTTATAGGTAAACTGCCAGATGACCTGGCCAAAATCTAAATCATGGCATTGGGATTAGGTACTTCTTCCTAACGGTGAACTCTTCAGACAAGTTAGGGGATTGCTGAAGTGGATATATGAATGAAACCTTCATTTATCACTACAACCAGGACGGTATTCAATTTCTCACTTCTGATTTTCTTCAATTTTCAAAAGTTAAGGCACACTGTCGCATAAGAGTAGATAGTGATGAAAAGTTTCACTCTTTGGGTAACCCCATGTGCTACAAGAGGAATGGATGGAGTGGTAGGTTGAGAGCAGTAGTCGGCCTGGTTCCAAGCCCCAGAGAGAGGGAGCTGCCTGGCAAAGTGGAGCAGGATGAAGACCATCATCTGCTCAGACACCTTGTACTCCTGGGCTTTCATTCAGTGGGTGGCTGGGTGGTCCCTCACCCCAGTTCTATTCTGAGATAGTCACAGCTTCATTCTGTGGCAAACCAGGGATCCACCACTGGAAAGTGTTCACGCCATCCAGGGCCAGGCCACATCTCTGAAGCCATCTGTGTGAGAGTGTTTATGTGCAAGGGGGGGATTAGTAAGAAAACCACAAACTCCTTTCATGCACTTCTAGGCCATGCACATTAATCAGTTGTAATGAAGTTCTGTAGTTATGTGACTGGTGGTTATATAACCTATAGTTAGTCTCAGAAGACAAGTAGAAAGCATTACAAAACAAGAAGACCAGTTTTTTTCTTTCTCCAGTTTCAGTGGGACTGTTTAAAAATAATCTTTAAAATAATCTTGATTTAATCCAGGTTAAAGTAGCAGCAATATGTTAAACACTAACATGTTGAAGTCCTTTGTAAAATAAAAAATAAGGTAATTTAGCAATTTGAAATCCTAAAAAAAGATCATGTTCATAGAACATTTGTTTTTAAGTAGATGCCTCTCTTACATAAATAGACTCACCTAATTTCTACAAACCATGCTGTTTATATCCTTTAAATGACTGTACAATGCTTACTCCATTAAAGCTCATAGGTATTAAATAGTTTAACCTATTAATTTGAAGTTCTAGCATTTGAACAGACTTTTCCTGAATGAAAAGTAGTTGGATAAAAGGAAGGAAGGTGAGAAGGAAGGAAGGAAGGCAGGGAGGAAGGAAAGAAGGAAAGAAAAACATGAACTGTGCTTCTTCCAAGTTAATGTTTAAACCTGCTTTAATCACATCCTTTGATACACTTTAGGGTCCATATCAGCCAAGGCAAACATTCTAAGGGGCTGAGCAGATGGATGCTGCAGTTTAGAAAGTGTGTGGTAAACTCATGCTCCAAGAGTGGAACAAAAGATCCACCTTTTTCATAATTAAGCCTCTGATTAATGCCCTGGGCTCCTCACCACACACCTGTAATTACTCAACAGAGGTACGCATTGTGCTGGGCCTTGTCTCAGAATATCAGGCATCAAGCTATCCAGCAGCAGATGGAAGCACATTTCTGTTGACATATGCTGCAATGAAAGGATTCATGCAAACCTGGCTAGCAGGTAGCAGAATGCCATGCATTTGAAGATTAATAATGCAAACAACCATGATGTTAACTTTGTTATGTTTGTGTTAATTCCATCTGTTGCGATGAGAAACTAAGCTTTGAACCCCATAGCTTTAAAACATCTCTAGTACATACTTATTTCCAAGAAGACATTTTGCACCCTGATGGGATGTTTATGGAGACTGTGAACTAAACCCTTTAACACATGAAACCCAGAGTTTGTAAATGGAATCCATTTTGCTTTTTAAGATTCATATGTGTAAAGACAATGATCTGTAAATGGAGCACTCACAAAAATTACCAATGGCCACTGATACTAAAGACAGCAGAAATGCTTGTAGCTGATATGGCCGAGATAAAGTCACATAGTTCCCCACCTCCTGGACTTCGGCCAGTCACTTCAACGGAACCTGTTTCTGTGGGCAAGAAGGCTGGAAAGAAAGGGCAAAATAACAGATGGCTAGCCTACCCTAGCCTGCCACCCACGAAAGACAGAGCCCCAAGGAGGTGAGTGGGCTGAGCTGCCAGTTAGAGACAGCACTCGGGTAGGATTGAGGTGGGGGTTAAAGAGGCAAATACATGATCAGTGAGCCAAATTATGATCATTCCTGCTTATTTTGCTTATCCACACTGAAATGGAACGCCCACAATCACAAAGACTATATCTTGTGTGATAACTTTCGAGTTAGGAAAACTGTGTGGTGCTCTGCAGAGTGTAGTTGCAGATTCTCAACAGTCACATCTACCCAGGGCTCTGATCACTTCTAGTCAAATCTTTCTTTCACCACCTTCCTCCTGATATGATAAAGTCACAGTAATAATCAGAAAAATAAAGATCTTGAGACTGAAACATTCTTAAGTCTCTTGGGTTTTAGGTACAGTGAGAACTGGAAGGCATTCCCAAGTTTTAATTGTTTATGTACAACTCTAGTGCATTTTGTCTTGTCCAAATTGAACATTACTAGTCTGTTTTTCAGAGTAACTATTCTATACTTAAAATAGGATTGTTCTGGAAAACTAGTATATTGTGGCATAAATAGGAAACAACACTTAAATCAACACAATGATGATACTGAATTTTTGGTGTCACTGAAGGAGGCTCTCCTTGCTCAGAGGTGTGGTTTGTCTCTTCAGGGTGGTATGAGAGAAGTTCTGCATCCATTCCAACTGGCTTACCTGAGAGAGTCACAAGGACAGGGAGAGATGAAAATGGGGTGCCCATTTCCAGTGTGCGATTCAATGCTATCCAAGGCTATCTCCATGTGAATACCACTGGGCAAGGCTACTGTACTCAAACTCTGGCATACTGAAAACTCCAGAACCAGGGTCACAGACTTAAGTTTAAGGCCTAATGTATGTGGCTGTGGGTTGATCACGTCATGCCAGGGCCTCACATGGGAAAATTCCTCTCACGGAGTTGTAGCTGGTGATCTAGCAGATATGAATACATGCCTTTGCATGTAGAAAGGATCATACAGAAATAATCACAGTGACATTGTTTTTTTCCAAAATGGGGAGGACTGAAGAATTTTATTTTCAAGACTTACTTTGTAGGTACACTGTGGAGAATTAGTGAAGTATTACTTTACTGATATTCAGAAGTATGTTTACATTTCAAAGGTGGCAGAAATAAGACCCTCAGATTCTATTTACCAGGAATTTTAAAACTCTAGAAATAAAATAAAAACAAGTGGGTCTAATAGAAAAATTAATTTCTTTTCTGTATTTTAAACAGGCTAGACTGGTATGTTTAATGAAAAATGGACTCTAAAATAGGAATTAATCTTATTCTTCAAAATGACAGTATGAAGTATAGGCAAAACTCTTTCATTTGCTTTTGTTCAAAAGAAATAGTATTTGTTCTGCAAAATGCGGAACATAGTGAACTGACCACCAAATTAGTATTTTTCTCTTGCTTTTGGTTAACTGGTGCTACACACTGAGTGTAAAGACTAGTTTGTAAGATAATAATTGTGAATTTGCAGTTTATCAAAAGATTCAGGTTTATGAGAAAGTAACTAGTGAGAACATCTGTCTCTTATCACTGATCTTACAAAAAAAAATCAGGTAATTCAAATAGAGGCGTGTTGTTTCCTCTCATCCAAAGCACAGTTCTATAAACACAAGCCACATTCAGCCTGGTAAATGAATCGCTTTAATTGAATGCTATGTACACAGTAACTGGAAAAGCCATAAGTGATAAGAAAAACATATGGTGATGGCAACAGAAATTGGTTTATTCATTTTGCATAGTGTTATTTTTTTTAGTTCTCTTATAATTGACCTTTAGAATGATAAATGTGTAAAATAACTTTGTTTATTATGGCTCCAAATCTTTCAACAATTACACAAAATGAAAATTTAAGGAAGGATTCATTCTGGAAGCATTTCCATTGTTTACATAATTGCACAGCTATAATTTAGTGCTCGTGTTGTTATGAAAAATAAAAAAGGGGCGATTACAGGCCATTTCAAATCAAAATATTGCACAGTGGTATCAAAAATGGGGGAAAATGTTCCCTTTAAAGCAGTTTTAAATGGATTAACCCTCTAAACAAAAACATTTCAATATAGTATTTTATAAAATACGAATGTTGAAGAAATAGCCATCTTTCAAACAGAATTAGAAATGTTGCAACTGTACTTTCACACCAATTACATATATATTATTCACTTAATATTTGCTCAGGGCCCAGCAGATGATGGTTGTAACACAATAGCCAGCCATCTGTCTCCCTGCCTTTCCTTAGCGGACTCTTGCCTGCTCCCCAGAAGCAAACAGATCCAGTTATTCCACCTAAAGTCACTCAGACCTTCCAGAAGGCGGCACAGATTAAAGAATAAAATGCATATATGCAAAATCATTGAATCTTCTTTTAATGTTTTACTTTTAAGAAAATTAACATGATATACTTAATGAGTTCACTGATATTCTTTAGAGAACATATCTGTGTTTCACCTAGAAAATTGTATAGAAATCCCTTTTGCTGATAAAATGACAAATGTTCAGATCTAGTTATCACATTAATATGACTAATTAAAAGGCATGATTCATTCCACACCCAGGTGATAGTATCAAAATATCTATTTGCAAAAGGATAATTTTTACACCTTTAACAATTAAAATTTTCTTTAACAATTAAAAACAGTCACAATCCTACAGTATTGAGAGAAGGACATATTTTTGAGCATTTTTTAAAAAAGGTTTTTTTTTTTTTTGCTTCCGGACTTGGGGGCCGGGCCGGGTTTGGGCTTTTTTTTTTTATTGCCTTATTGGCAAAGCTCAGAAATACTGGGTGACA